GTAGCATTAAGCTAGTGAAGATTTTACCACAGTGAAGTCACAAAGGAATTCAATAATTATTTAAGAATTCTCCTGAAAACTAAACATAGTGCTAAATGTTACCAGGAGGAAAATTAAATAAATTCATTAAATTAGAGTCTTCTTTAAGAATTGCCTTTAAAATTACATAAAAATAATGCAATTTTTTCAATCCATTACTTCATTCAGTTCATTAACCTTAGAGTAAGCTAACAATTTATTTCTAGATCAAGTAAGTGGAAAAGTAATGAATATTATACTGCACATTCCGACAAACCACAAAGGGATATTATTCTAAATCAGAAGCAGTATTAGAGCTGCACTGTAGCTCTTGGTTTAAATAGTTGGTTACAAGGTTAAGTAGGTTTACTTATGACCTGAGGTCACATGAGAAAGAGACAGAACAAAATTTCTCCTTGGTGTGCCACATGTGAGTCATCATTCTCTCACTCAAAATCTTGTCTTGGTAGCATTGTTCTCTTTGTTCTACATTAGTTCATAAGCCCTGGGAAGTATTCACAGCTATATGAAGTACTAGTTAGAGTCTTACCCTCCAGAATGGCAGGCCTGACCAAGTTTTCTGTCACAAACCACCATCACTTTACACTATGTGGTGAGACGTATGGGAACCCCCACAGTCTCCTTATTTTTCATAAATATCTGTAATGTGTCAGAACTAAGGAATTTGCTATACTATGTACAAGCAGAAAGATGTGACACTTTTCCTTACCCATCATAGAGGTCACAGTCAAATCTTCTATAGCAAAATGCAGATGAACTTGCTGAGTGTGTTGAAGTACTCCCTGTCATCACTGGTACTCGGAAGATGAAACAGAAGGAGCACAATTCCAAGGCCAGCCCAGACAAAGATAACTGCATGACCCTTTTCCAAAGCAAAATAAGGATTTAATATCAGTAGTGAAGTGCTTGACTAGCAAACACAGGACTTTGGTTCAATTTCTAGTACTATAAGAAAAGAAGTCAGATTAACAGAACAAAATAGAGTACATTTACTCTAATGTTGTTTTATGTGACAGAGAAATCTTCAGAAACAAAGTTGTAAAAACTAAAAATAAAATGAAATTATTTTATGTTTAATCTCAGTGAAGAATTGACAGCCACATAAAAATATTGGACAAAACCATATATTGAATTGCAGTAGGCTTAGAGAAGTGGAAAGACTTGACTGTTCAGATTTTTCTTGAGTTATGTGGGTATTGTCAATTACAACTCAAATAACTCCACATAAATTATTTTGTGTTTTGTGCAAAAATACCTTTGTTTTGCATCTGCCTTATCTACTAAAATCCCACTAGTTATGGGGCAAACACTCTTCAGGAGCTAATATAGTAGATCAGACAATAACCTTTCTAGATTTTAAAGCTTACTTTAGGAAAACATATCTAGTTTTTGTAAGCCACCTGGAAGAAAATGAATTCTATTTCTATAGCTTTTAAAATATATTGAGGCCTGTTACAAATTTCTTGCATAGTTAGATGCTTATATCTGGGAAAGCCAACTGAATCTAATCAATAATGGTTATAAACAGCTTTTCATGAATGGTCACTTGTAGAAGATGCAAGTTCTCCCATCAATGAACTACTGGTATCACAAAGTAACAGTTTCCTGGCAGAATGTGATAAATCCATCGATGCCTACTTAAAGAAACATGTCATTTGTCAAGGATACTGAGAACCATCTATACCACTGCAAAAGAACCCTAAGACACTCCTGATCATCATCCAATCCCCTTATACTGCCAATAAAATCTCTCCATAAAACAGATAGGAAGGGAGAGATGGGTTAACAGCTCCTGCTTCCTTCTGTATTTGATTGAGTTTGTTCTTTTTTTAAATAAATAAACAAATCATGATGTAGTTTTGGGTTTTGTATACATAAGACTCAATATTAATTTTGAGGTAGAGAACAAAGACTAGATATAATTGTGACCTTTATAATGAAATTAATGAATATTTTTCTCTTCTAAGAGGTTTCAACCATACTCCCTCCATAAAGATTAGAAACAGAGTACATTCTTTTTGAAAGACCCCCGACAGGGTGGGGTGCCTTTCAATCTAGAGAGACCCTTTCCCAAGGAACAACGAGACCACTTGTGCGGATGCAATCAGCAAGAGGTTTATTCGGGCATGCCCCAGACTCCCAGGTACACACGACCTCGAGATCCACAAGGTTCGGGTCGGTGGCTGGGAACCTGTTACACGGGTACCTGGGGCGACAAAGTCTATCGGGAGACTTGCGCGCCCAAGTAGCTGAGAGCACCCTCTTTTATGGGGCAGCTGGAAGCAGGGTTACAGAAGCGAGATGCATGGTTACAGGGTGTTGATTGGCTGATTTTAGTTATGTGTAGGGTAGGGATTGGTGGGCTTGAGTCAGGCGAGCGGGTTAGGCAAGGTCCGCTCAAGGGGGTGTTGGGACTTTCCACGGCAGGGTGGGGTTGGCTAACATGTCTGTACATGTCCGTACTTGCTTGCCCTGTAATTGTTAACTCAGAGACCCTTTGTTCCTCATTCCCGGTTAACGGTTTAACCACAACATCCTGCCTCGCCTTCTCCGGTGTTTTTCCACCCACATAGTTTCGCGGAAGGAGGTTGGTCAGCAAGTTGTCTAGGGGGACCTAGTGGCAAGGCATATGCTAGGGTCTTTCATTCCCCCATTTTCTTTTTGCCTGAATGAAATCCTTCATTCAACCAGGGCTTCCTCTGTTGTTTTAAGTTGATGGTATTGTTGGGTTAGCACCAGGGCCTGTACTACCGATAGGCGGTCTTTTACAAATTGTACCAAGCGGTTTACAATGCTTGGGCCTAGGGTAAGAATTATCATCAATAATATTATTGGTCCCATTAGGGAGGACAGTAGGGTGGTGAACCATGGGGACTTGTTCCATAATCCTTCGTACCAGCTCTGTTGGGATGTTAATTCCCGCTGTCTTTTTTTCTAACCTTTCTTTAAGTTTATCTAGGGTTTTAATTACCACTCCTGTTTTGTTAGCATAAAAGCAACACTCTTCTTTTAGGGCAGCACATAGGCCTCCTTCTTTAAGAAAAAGCAAATCTAACCCCCTCCGATTTTGGAGGACTACCTCGGCTAAGGAGCTTACGGAGTCAGTTAGCGCCCGAACGGATTTTTCCAGGGCTTTTAGATCATCATTCATAGCTTGTTGGAGGAGCATGTACTGGTCTGTCCTAATCAGGGCCGTGGTTCCTGTGGCGATTCCGGCCGATATCCCTCCAAGACCTAGGAGAACAGCTAAGGTAATGGTTACAGGTTCTCTTTTGTTTCTATGTATAGGGTCCTCAAAATACCGTAAGACAAAGTCATCAGGATGGTAGGTGATGCGGGGCCAAACTTGTACAAGTACACAATAATCCTGGCTTCGGTTAAAGACAGCTGCTGACACACATGGGATGAGGCCGGTGTTACAAGCCCAATAAAGTCCATCTTGGGGAACCAAGTAGTATGACCCAGGAAGGACTGCCTGAGTTGTGTTACATAGGATTTTGTGGGATAAAGGGACGTTACCCAAGCACATTCCGCCTCCTGATACTTCGGGAAGGGTCAGCTGATGACTGGGTAAAGATCTACAACTGGCAGGAGGGCTGGTGTAGTTGGAAACTCTGGTATTTACAGCAATGCCCTCATAGTAAGGAGGGCTGGGGGTTAGGCAGAGCCAACAGTTTTCAGTGCGGTTAGGGTCGGCATGGTTTAGGGTGGCATAGGCTCCTTTGACCAGGTTAATAAGCCTATCTCCTGTCCCAAGCGAGGCTGGAACAGCCATGGGGGTGGACGGGGGAGAGGAAGTAAATGCGGGGGAAAGGGTAGATTTAGTGGGGTTTCCGGCAGGGGCCCTGTGGTCTGATAAAATTGGATTGGGCCCGATGGATAGGATAGGGGTTACTTCTTTATGTAACCTAATTTGAAATGTCACCCCTAAGTCTGGGCCGGTTAAATACCATCTTAGCCCCCACTGTCTGCCTGTCATCCATAAAGCTGGAAGTAAAAGTTTACCTTTATCTGTAAAGGATATTTTGAGGGGCAAGCAGGTGGCATTGGTTTTACATGAAGTAGCCCAGGCGCCTCCTTTTCTTACATCAATTAAGTCGGAGGAGCTGGGTTTCCAATATGCATCTCCCGTTGTTTCACAATTCCATGAGGCACAATAGTATACATCCGACTGTCCACATGTATGGACAGCAGCTCGGGACCTGCCGTCCCGAGGGCAGACATAGAAATCATGTCTGGCCAGCTCCTCTCTTTTGTCAGGTGAACAGCAACCATACTGATTATGAGGCTCGCCATGGGAAAGAAGATAACTATAGTCCCAAAGGCTCGGGCAGCTGTTTACAGGAATATCAGTAAACATGGCATTAGGTATGTCCCATTGGCCCGAAGTTATCCCAGCCGCTAATTGGCAAAAATCAGGAGTAAGGTCCGGCCACCAAGTACCCCAGGGATGGTCTCTAGAACTAATCTGCCAGATTACATCCGCAGTACCAGACATGACCTGCCAAGTTTGTAGCACAGGCTGATGTGGGTTGGGAGAGGCAAGACACAATTGGGATAGCATAAGGCAAAAGAGGGAAATCATGCTCGCGAAAGTCTTATCTTAAGGGGATTTTGAGTGCGTTGTATTTTCCAGGCTGGTGTTTTTGAGGCTTTCTCCGGGGCCCGGGCAGCCTTGACGTGGGACGCGTGGATCCAGGCGGCGATCCCGTCTACCTTTACAGCTGTAGGTGTGGTAAGGAGAACGATGTACGGGCCTTTCCACCGGGGTTCCAAATTTCTTGTCTGGTGACGGCGGACCCACACGGAATCCCCTATCTGGAAGCTGTGAGGCAAGACGGGGTGGTTCTGGTGATCCCGATATGCCGCCGCAAGAGGCTTCCAGACTTCACGCTGGACGATCTGAAGTGCCTGCAAGTGAGCTTGTAAAGAGGGGCTGGGAGACGAACGCGGGCCCATTGTCAGTCCCCAACACCTGTGGCATACCATACCCGGGAAAAATTTCTTCCATCAGTTTCTTTGTTACCACTCTGGAGGTTTCTTGTTTGGTAGGGAAAGCTTCTACCCATCCTGAAAATGTGTCCACGAACACTAGGAGATACTTATATCCATACTGTCCAGGTTTTATTTCTGTGAAGTTGATCTCCCAGTGGGTCCCTGGCCGCTGTCCCCGCACCCGCACTCCTGGTCCTACTTTGGTCTTTCCGGCGTTGACGCGTGCGCATATTGTGCACTGATCTGTCACCGATTGTAGGCTGTCTTCTTTTCCCAGGAGATACTTCAGTCCCTCTTCACGGTCAAGGAGGGTCTTCATTTTTCGGTTGCTGAGGTGGGTTAGTTTATGGAGGCGGTCTATCATCTGATGAGTCCATTTTCTGGGCCAAACTGTTTTTTCATCATATGTCCAAATCCCTTCTCCGGGGTCAAAAGTGGCCCCCATTTTCTTTAGGTCGTCCATGTCCTCTGGACTGTATGGGAGCGGACTGAGTCTTTTTGTCTGAGGTTTAGCCGCTACCGGGAGGACTGGGGTTTTTAGGGTCCCTGTTAGCGCTGCCTTTCGGGCCGTCTCATCAGCTAGTCGTTTGCCCCTTGCTTCCGGGGTCTGTCCTTTTTGGTGTCCCGGACAGTGCATAATGCTCAGTTTCTGGGGCAAGAACAAGGCCTCGAGTAGGGCCAAGATTTCAGGCTTGTTCTTGATTTCCTTGCCCTCTGAGGTCAGTAAGCCCCGCCTGCGATAGATTTCTCCATGCACATGAGCTGTAGCAAAGGCATAGCGACTATCAGTGTAGACATTGAGTCTCTTGTCCTTTGCCATTCTAAGTGCGTGGGTCAGGGCGATCAGTTCGGCACGCTGAGCCGACGTTCCGGGCGGAAGTTCCTTGGCCCAAATTACCTCAGTCTCGGTGGTGACAGCGGCTCCAGCCTTTCGCTCCCCGTTGTCCAAGAAGCTGCTCCCATCTGTGTACCAGGTGAAATCAGCATCTCGGAGGGGCTGGTCGGTCAAGTTGGGTTGGGTTCCATGTACTTCGGCCAGAATTTGCAAGCAGTCATGGGGTTCCGCCTCCCCCGGTTGTGGTAGCAAGGTGGCTGGATTTAAAGTTACCACAGGCCCGAACTGTATTCTGTCTTTATCCAGGAGCATGGCTTGGTAGTGCGTCATGCGGGCGTTAGAAAGCCAGCGGTCTGGTGGTTGTTTGACCAGGGCCTCTACTGCATGTGGGGCCAGAATGATAAGCGGCTGTCCCAGGGTGAGCTTACCCGAGTCTTTTACCAGAACTGCAATGGCCGCTACCATCCGCAGGCATGGGGGCCAACCGGAAGCAACCGGATCCAGCTTTTTGGAGAGATAGGCCACAGGACGTCTCCAGGGTCCCAGCTTTTGGGTTAGGACTCCTTTTGCGTACCCTTGTTTTTCATCTACAAATAGCTCAAAAGGTTTGGTTAGATTTGGCAATCCTAAAGCCGGGGAGTGTAAAAGGGCCTCCTTGATGTTTTTGAAGGCTTTTTGTTGGATCTCTCCCCAGGCAAACAACGTCCCTGGTTTTGTCAGCGGGTACAGAGGGGCGGCCATTTCCGCAAAGCCGGGGATCCATAGACGACAAAATCCAGCTGTACCCAGAAATTCCCGCAGTTGTTTTGGGCTCTGGGGTGGGGAAATATCCATAATTGCTCGTTTGCGAGACTCTGTCAGCCACCTCTGCCCATCCTTGATCTGATATCCTAAATATGTGACTTGCTTTTGGCAAATTTGCGCCTTCTTTGCGGAGGCCCTGTATCCTAGGGTGCCTAGGGCCTGCAAGAGGGCTTCAGTTCCTGATTTACAGTCCTCCTCTGTCTGGGCTGCCAATAGAAGATCATCTACCTATTGGAGCAATTTTAAGGTTGGGTGTTGGATTCTAAAATCGGCTAGGTCTCGGTGTAACGCCTCATCAAACAGTGTAGGGCTGTTTTTAAATCCCTGGGGTAGCCTAGTCCAAGTCAATTGTCCTGATACTCCCAATTCTGGATCCTTCCATTCGAAGGCAAAAATAAGTTGGCTACTGGGGTGGATTCGCAAGCAGAAAAATGCGTCCTTTAAATCCAAAACCGTATACCAGACGTGAGTAGGGGGCAGTCCACTCAGTAGGTTATATGGATTAGGGACCGTGGGGTGGATGTCCTCAACCCGCTTATTGACTTCTCTCAAGTCCTGCACTGGTCTATAGTCCTGGGTTCCCGGCTTTTTGACTGGGAGTAGTGGGGTATTCCAAGGAGACTGGCAGGGGGTTAGTATTCCTTGGTCCAGCAGTCTCTTTATGTGAGGGCGAATTCCCTGGCGGGCTTCCTGGGACAACGGGTATTGCTTGATGGATATAGGTAAGGCAGTGGCTTTTAGCAGAATTACTAGAGGGGACTGGTGGACGGCCAAGCCCATGCCTCCCGTCTCAGCCCAAGCTTGCGGGAATTTTTGTACCCAGGAATGTATACACGGGTCTTCTTTGCTCTTTTCTTGTTCATACAACCTGTACTCGTCCTCTATCCCAAGAGTCAGTACGTGCAATGGCTGTCCCTTGGGTCCGGTAATGCGTGCCCCCGTTTCCTCGAAATGAATTTGCGCCCTTAATTTAGTAAGCAAGTCTCTTCCCAGCAGGGGATAGGGGCAGTCGGGAACATGCAAGAAAGTGTGCGTCACCTTACCGGTAGCCAGCTGTACTTTACAGTCGGTGGTCCATCGGTACCGCCTTCCTCCAGTGGCTCCTTGGACCCAGGCTGATCGGTCACTCAGGGGTCCGGGGGTTGTGGTCAGCACCGAGTGTTGGGCCCCCGTGTCCACCAGGAAGGTGACGGGTTGCCCCCCAACTTCCAGAGTTATCCTAGGCTCAGGGGGGGGCTCCTGGCCTGGACCCCCCTAATCATCCAGAGTTAACAGGGATGTTTGGGGTCTTGGTCTTCGAGGTCCCCGGGGTCTTTTTGGACAGTCTCTCACCCAATGCCCTTTTTCTTTACAGTATACACACTGATCCTTCTCCACTTGGGTACCCTGCCTGTCTCCCTTCTGTCTATCCTGTCTCTGCCCTGTTACTATGGTGGCCAGTAACTTACTCATTTCTTTAGTTCTTTTACGATCGCGTGCACTCTCCCTCTCTTCTGCTTCCTTTCTGAGCCTTTCCTCCTTCTCTTCTGGAGTCTCTCTTTTATTATAAATGCGTTCGGCTTCCTTGAGCAAGTCGTGTAGGGACATTGTCTGGAGATTTTCCTGCCTTTCTAATTTCTTTCTGATATCTGGAGCTGACTTCAGGGGTGTCAAAATCCCAGTTCGGCTGTTCCAAAGGAAAAGCAGCGTTTATCACATTGGGTAGTTGAGTGGGACGCCCATTCTCTCCGGGGACGTTTTTCCTTGCTTCGAGGAAAACGCGTTGTCTTTCCTCAGTAGTCAGTAGTACCTGTAATAGCTGTTGGCAATCATCCCAAGTAGGTTGATGAGTTACCAAAATAGATTCAATTAAAGAAGTTAATTTGGAGGGATCTTGGCTAAAGGGAGGATTGTTATTTTTCCAGTTATATAAGTCGGAGGCTGAGAAAGGCCAATACTGTAACTGCCCACCCAACCCCGCGCGCAAGGGGAAGGCTCGAGAGGTGGTGGCAGAGTCTGTGGCCTGTTCCCGGCGTTCTCGAAGCCGGCCAGCGATTGGGGATGGTGCGGGGTCGGCAGGTGGTTGAGGAGCGGCAGCTTCCGCTCCCGAAGGTTGGGGAGCGGCCCCTTGATAGGGTGGCGGATCCTCGGTCAGTAAGTCCAGCAGGACGTCTTCCCCCGGTGGTAAAACCTTCGGGGCAGTAGGCCTGTCCTTTTCTGGAGCCTGCTTTTTATTTTCTAAAGGAACAAGGGCTGGGTAAAGTGAAGTATTTGGAGGGGGATGGGGAGTTGGGGAAGGAAGGAGTGGGAGAGAAAGCTGGGGGGCAGATGGGATGGTTAAGGGGGTAGGGACTTTGAGGTTTAGGGCGAATAAAAAGGGCTTAATCCAAGGGGGAGGGTCTAAAACAAGAGCCTCCCAGGTAACAATATAAGGGACCTGGTCTGGGTGTCCATGTGGTCCCGGGTCCATTATTTTGGCCTTGACCTGTAAAACAATAGTCAAGTTAAAGGTTCCTTCCCGTGGCCAATTAACATTAAAGGTGGGCCATTCTGATGAACAGAAGGTTGTCCATTTTCTCTTCCAGACTTCCACCGAAAGATTGCTGGCTGTCACTTGAACATCCTTCCAGTGCTGTAAAGTAAGGCTAAGGGGGGTTGTGACAGTCTGTCCCATAGTAAATCGTAACACAGACACAAACAGAAAACAAATACAGACTACACTTACTTTCGCTGCGCGGCTTCGGCAGCAAACCGAAAGCAAAAACCAGATGGAGACTGTGTCGAGAGTCCGGATCTCTCCTCTCCCAGACGAACCACGCGTCCAAAAGGACCGGGTTCCAGATGGGCCACTTTCTCAGGCCCCGGATGAGCCACTTTTTCAGGCTCCGGATGAGCCACTTTTTCAGGCTCTGGATGAGCCACTTTTTCAGGCTCCGGACACCTCCAGGACGTCTCCTGGGGGCTGCGGTCGGGAGTATGAGCTCGTCAGCTCCTCCTCGGGTCCGCCAGATTCAGACGAGTACGGCCGACTCCCAAAATCAAAAACGCAAAGCAATTGACCACACACCTTAATTTCAGACAACACGCAGACAACACACAGACAACACACAGACGCTGGCCAGCTTACCTCCCGGAAATGGGTCGGTGGTCCCTGGGTGGGGGGTCTCTATCCTGGACGAGCCCCCAGATGAAAGACCCCCGACAGGGTGGGGTGCCTTTCAATCTAGAGAGACCCTTTCCCAAGGAACAACGAGACCACTTGTGTGGATGCAATCAGCAAGAGGTTTATTCGGGCATGCCCCAGACTCCCAGGTACACACGACCTCGAGATCCACAAGGTTCGGGTCGGTGGCTGGGAACCTGTTACACGGGTACCCGGGGCGACAAAGTCTATCGGGAGACTTGCGCGCCCAAGTAGCTGAGAGCACCCTCTTTTATGGGGCAGCTGGAAGCAGGGTTACAGAAGCGAGATGCATGGTTACAGGGTGTTGATTGGCTGATTTTAGTTATGTGTAGGGTAGGGATTGGTGGGCTTGACTCAGGCGAGTGGGTTAGGCAAGGTCCGCTCAAGGGGGTGTTGGGACTTTCCACGGCAGGGTGGGGTTGGCTAACATGTCTGTACATGTCCGTACTTGCTTGCCCTGTAATTGTTAACTCAGAGACCCTTTGTTCCTCATTCCCGGTTAACGGTTTAACCACAACATCCTGCCTCGCCTTCTCCGGTGTTTTTCCACCCACATAGTTTCGCGGAAGGAGGTTGGTCAGCAAGTTGTCTAGGGGGACCTAGTGGCATGGCATATGCTAGGGTCTTTCACTTTTAATGCCCAGAAAATTTCGTACAAGTTCTACAGCTTTTGCTTGCTTCTATTTACTTATTTTTATTGATAATTTACTGTAGATGGCTTTACTATAGATAACATCTTTGATGATGGTCATCTTGGAAACAATCAAGTTGTTTTGCAAGAATTGCAGCTCAAACTACAAGACACATACACTTAGGCCTACACAATTGTCTGTTGAGTGAACTACCAATGCCAGAGGATGAAAAATTCCACCCAGACCATACTAACATGACTTTTTTTTAACACATTTTCTATTACCATTCTTGAGTTTTTAACTGCAGGAAAATGGAAGTCCTCAGAAGTAATAAATGTTCTTCTCCCTCTGCAACCTAGCCAGGCATTCTGTTCAGTATATCAATCATTTTTGTAAAAACTATTTTATTTCTGAAGCATTAATTGTACAGATGTGGGAATCTGATTCAGATTTTATCACTAGTTAACTATTATGACATGTGCAGTGGACCGGCTCTGTCGGGACGACGGAGGATACCTAGTGGAGGAACTGGAATAGGTGGGGAGATGGCAAACAGACAACTCACACACAAGAGGAGTGGATGCTGAGTGCGATTTAATGCAGAGGATAACAAACTCTTATAGCAAAAATCTCCAGGAGAAAAGGCAAAAGGTTACACAATCTTGCTGCAGGGCTTCATTCTTGGGTGGTCACCAGTTGGTCGCCTGATAGGCACTTGTTTCTGGCTTATCTCTATTTTTAAGAAATACAATGGGTTTCGATGTTTGTCACCAATTAACCATTACCCTTTTTTATAGAGGTCTTAACTGTCCCATAAGATCTTTCCTGTTCCTTCTTTAATAGTAAGCACCAAGGAGGCCTAGATCTAGCAAGTCTCTTAGTAAACAAAAGAGAGTAATAGGAAGTTCTTTCTCCTAAGTAGTTATCTCAGCAATTGCCATACATTCTTTCTGTTCTAGCCGCGCCTACAGCTTCTTGTAAATTTCTTACAAACAATTCCTTCTGCTGAAGTGACTTCGCAAAACCCCCAATACTTTTATATTTACTTATGACTTGTCTACTAGCCTCCATAAGAGGGGCTTTCAGGGTAGCACTTAACTCTGGTGAGTTAGTCATATTTTTAAGACACTCATCAGATGTTGGAGTCGTCAACACTCCTCAGGTCTGAAAGCAGGTTTCCCATGCTAAGCAGACTCCACCGGAGTAGGCGTGGCAGACATGTCCTTGAAAGTTTCCTTTATGACATTAATTACAGTTTCTATCAAGCAGAATAGATTACAGTTAGGATGCATGCATATATGTAAGATAGATAATTAGATAAACAGATGATAGATGACAGATGAAATAGATAAATACAGACATAATGTTATTAAGGATAGTGTGCATGTGTGTGGAAATGTATGAATATGTAGTTTCAGGATATTTTACACACAATAAAATAACTAAAAATTACCGTATGATTTTAAGAAAAGGAACAAATTAGAGGAAGTCAAATGAAGAGATGTACAGGGTAGGACCTGGGACTATGAGGGTTCAAGGAGAAAGTTCCCAGTTGGGAACACACTGCCCTTCCTACATTGGCACCAACTCCTGACATATCAGTGCCACCAGCTCAGAAGTTCACAAAGCTCCTTTCATGTCCAGAGTCATCACTGAGACTCTATTATCATAGTTCAGGAAGTGCACACATAGATAAATTTAATCTCCAGGCCTTTTCATCCCTCAAGACTGAATTGATTTTCCCTGTCTGAATGATCTTTCTGGTTGGACATATCTCACATTGTCTCGTTGATAGCACAAACTACTATGTGTAGTAGAATAACTGCCCAGAAATAACAAAATTGCTCAAGAAATCCCAACATTTACAGTTAGATTAGAAGCTTGAACAAAGGCTAGATCTCTCTTTGGTTTCTTGATTCCTCACTCTACAGATGCCAAAGATCAAATCTATATTAAACATTTTATATCAAGCTCTACAATTGATTGAACATATATCAGGTTTAAATTATTAAGAACCAAATTGGATTGATGGAAGGAAAGAAGGAAGGAAGGAAAAAAGGAAGGAAAGAAGGAAGGAAGGAAGGAAGGAAGAAAAATATTACTTTTAGTTTTCACTAAAATAATATTTATCAACACTATTTTCCAGTTAGCCTATCTTTTTCTCATCGTTTAATATAGTTTTCTTTTTAGGTAACAATAAACTTTCCTTGTTAAATGTTATCTGTTAAATGTTTTGCTTCTCAATCTTTATTCATTAATCATTATCATTCATAATCATTATTCTCCAATTTAATAAATTTTATTCATTCAAACTAATCTGTTGTTAAAGACGATCTTATGACCTATAAAATTCCCCCTTCAGTAGCATAAGACCAGTTGGATTCAGAATTAACAATGTTCTATCAGTTCTTCCTGAAGGTGTAGGCCTCATTATCACTGCTGTAGCACAAGATGACATCCACCTTCTACAGGTAGATGAGTATTACTTCTTTCAAATTTGCACCTGGAGGTAAGAGATTACCTTCATAAGATAGGCTATCTATCATAGATAGATAGATAGATAGATAGATAGATAGATAGATAGATAGATAGATAGATAGATAGATAGATAGATTCTGTATTACCCAGTATGTGTGGGCTATAGCTTAAATGGTGCTGAGCCTCTGATGCATAATAAAAATCCCAAGAGCCCTAAGTGTTGATTCAGGCACCAAAAGTGAAAGAAATGTTTATATTTTTAAAAATTACATAAAAAAGAGTATTAATACTAAGTAAAAACACTCTCTCTCCTCTTCAGCTGTTGTCAGGTGTTTAGGCAATGGGACAGGTCTGAGAAACTGCAATCAAGAGACAAGAAAGGAAGCTTTATGAGGCTTACTTCTGAGCTTATATGATAATTTAAAAATATAAGTGCTAAAAGTACTCGTCTAAAAGTATTGTACTAATTAGTACCAGGAAGAATTATATGATTACCACTTAGCAATGCGGATGCTTTGCTTCTAGAACCTAATTCTCTCATCATAAAAATGATGACATTTTCAAGAACTGAAAGAAGGACAATATTTTCAATATGCAAGATTCAAGTGCCTAGTCCCCAATTATCTCTGGACAAGTGTCATTTCAAGGAATCTACCCACTGCTGTAACTGCCCATGCCCTTCATTGACAACTTGAGTCTTGTTACATAGGATTGTTATACCAAAATTCGGGGACCCCCAGAAGACCACCAGAGACCACGATCAATGTAAGCAACAAAGAGCCGGTTTATTGCAAGCTCAAGCTTGGTCCTCCGCGCACAGGGTAACTGGTGACGCTAAGAGGCCCTAAGCATAGAATCAGGGCCGTTTTTATAGTATTGAACAAACAACTTTAAGGAACTTTTGCATAAGAAATTACATGATTGGTTAACATTTACATTTAAAGCAAGCTAAACTGGGCAAATAATGATTGGTCGATCTTTACAGAAAAAATGTCCTTGGTCCATAGCTTGATGGAAAAAGGTTATGAGTCACACCCAGACCAACAGAATGCATGGCATGTCTCACCCCAGGCTCTGAAGAATGGGTTGGTTAGAAACTCTTAGTCCTAGGTGGGTGGGGGGCAACACCACTTGGGGGCTAACAGCTGCCTTAAGCAAATGCCATCTATGGCTCCAAGAATTGTGCATGGCTTTCTGTCATAAATTCCTAGCATTGGGGCTAAAATGGATCATGAGTCAAGTCGCAGAACTGAGATGGAGTGTTAAACAAAAATGGAGTTGCTTAGGTTTCTTAAAACATATTTCTTCCCTAGGGCCTTACTGCCTCAGCCTCCAGGAGGGGCGTTGCAGCTGTGGGGATAATTCTGAGGACTTTGCCCC